TTATTCTTGTTTAAAATTTTAAAAAAACTTACTAAAAAAAATTTGCTTGGTTTCTATTGACTCAACCCCATATATTTTTTGGTATATAGATTAGGTTACATTGCGTTACTTTATTACCAATAAGTCTGGGGATTGACTTTTTTTCGAATTAGCGCACATCAATTAAATAATGAGCAGGTGGGCGGTATTTATAACATTATGTTGATAATTTTTATTGATCAGAAAATGCCGGGAAGCGGTTTTTCTGAATAATCAAAAAAAATAATAATCGCTGTACCAATATGATGTATCTCAGAATTATCATGTATAATGGTCATAAAATTTAAAAAGTTTTTTAATGTAACCCGAATTAACCTTAATTTAGGCCTAAATTCGAAATTACACCAGTTACTGTAAGTTACCGAAAAACGGTTATCAAGTTTAACTGAACCCGAATCTACTATATCTTATTGGATAAAAACCTACGCAATTGTTTTGTAATTATCGTAACGTATGATTAAGTCACTTGATATTTGTTTTAAAACAATAAAGAACAATATAAAACTGATTTAAAACATCATCCTTACTACAAATTGTTTAAACTCTTTTAATTCGTATAGTGAATATAATATCAGGTATTAGTATGGATGACGTAAGAAGCATCATAATTTATTTTCGCGTCATAAAATTGATCGCCATTTATAACCAATCACATCACATTACAGCAAAACAATATAAAAACAATCAAGACAACTCATATTTTAGTACGCATATCTTCAAAGGCCAAAATGAAGCGAAAAAATGAAGATAATGCATCACAAGTCGGTCGCAATGTACGCAAGGTTCTGTCTAATAATAAAAGCGGTCAGAGCTCACTACAAACGCGAAAGTTAGAGTTGGAAGAATTAAAGACACTCCGAGAAGAAAACATCTTACTTAATAAAGAAATTGAAAAAATGAAAGCCGAGAGAAAGAGATTGTTGGAGGAAAGAAATAAGCTTAGGGAAGAAAAAAGACTAAGCACACAAGAAAAAGGGACATTGATGGCAGACGTTTGTCAAATGGAGCATCGACTCGCTTGTGAAGAAGCACGAGTAGTCGAACTTGAGGAAATTCGGGCCAATTGCCAAAACCATTTAAGTATTTTGAACGGAGAAAACATCCAACTTGATCGAGATCGAGATCTTTATAGAAATGAATTGAATATCGCCAACGAAAAGATCCTGATACATGCAAAAAGACTATCAGAACAGCAATCGCTTATTGATGTCCTTACAACGAAACTACAAGAACAAGAAAAGATTTGTCAAGATCTCAGAAATTCAATCGGAAAATTGAAAAAATGATAATGATTAACTTAAACTCATTTGTAATAAATATAGCCCATATATAAATATGTTTATTATCTAACTTTCATATTATAAATATATAATTAAATCAAGATCTTATAAAACTTAATGTCACGCATTATCGTTATATGACATATTAACATTAACAAAAAAATTGGGTAGTCAAATTTTAAGGTAACATTTTAAAAGTTATAAAATTAATTTTGACAAACGCGTGTTAAAGTTATAATATCAATATAATCTAACAGAAATTTCGTTAGGGCAGTTTCAAAATTAAATATAATCGATTTTTTGTTCTCATGCTACACCTAATCTAACTAATTGTGCGCTACATCGTTTGCCAAAATGATGCAAATTGTCTTTTCAAACCTATATAACGATCTTGATAATGGTCAACTATTTAAGGATTAGAATTGAAACATTAAATAACGATGATGTAGAGGTTATTGTTGCACTAGAACCAGTATTGGCATGGTCAGGTACGTACGTACGCACGACGAGTACCGGGTAGATAGAATTAGTATCTGAACAATTCATGCGCTACAGGTATTTTGACCTAGGTGCCCCTTCAAATTTTGGCCCGCATTACATAACTGTTTACTAATTTCCGGCCGGAATTAACTTTTGGATTTTTTTGAAATTAGCTGATTGATTGCTGTTCTATTTTTAGAGCATTGTTAGCCAATCAAAATTGAGGATCTGCCGCACATTTTTTGTTGTACAGTAGTTGGAAGTGAGAGTACCATTTTATTATCGATCATCACATAACCTAGTCATATTTTTAGAAAATTTTAATCGGTTTATTTTTTTTTCAAAATTCAAAGGTTATTGTCTATCACAATAAATAGCGTTATTTATATTTCATAGTTAGTAAGAAATGGCGTGCATAGCAATAGGAATTACGTGTAGCCCAAACTTTTAATGCGCTTTTTTTTTCCGAGTCCTAATCTCTGAAATGAACAGATTACATGTATAATAAAATACATACATACTATATATATATTAACAATAGTAACTAACTAGAGCGATTGAAACAAGAGCACTATATGGCATACGGTAATTTTCAAGGCTCAGGAAATATTTTCGATTTACGTACGTTAATTCGAAATATACGTATCACGTGCAAGTTCACACATAATTAATTTTAGAATTGACTTACTGCGTTATATCAAGAATGGGTTTATAAAGACGAGGATGATACGATGAAAATGTGTAAAGATCAACCAATTGTTTGTGTAACCTCAACGTATGTGCAATGTAAACTTCTTAATAATTTGAACACTAAATTATAATTAAGATTTTTATTTCCCGCTTCTACGTATAATATTGTAATACTGAAAGGTGATATTTATTTGTTATATGTCACTATGATGGTGCTCCTTTGGACGAAATTCTTTTTATTCAATTCATTTCATTATATACTTTCATTATACTAGATATAACGAAGTGCAACGAAGTGTGTTCAAGCTACATAAAATATAAAGTTACTACTTTGCTCAGTCCTTATCGTACTCCCTATCCCTTAATTTAATTTAAATTTAATTTATATACTGTATTTCGTATATCGATATTTCTTTATATCTATTATTTAAAAATCTTTCTTATTTTTTGGCCTCAGTTTTCTTTTATTAATCTAGTTCTCAAAAAACATGTCTCAAATTGACACTTCCCCTGTGCATAGCGCCGTCCCTCTACCTCCCATTCAACCACCGGATCCTACTTTTCCTACAAAACTTATGCTTGAGCTTCGTGGCACTCGCTTTGAAATCGATCGTGAACTTTTAATGAGTTTGCCGGAAAGCATCCTTATTGTAATGTTTCCGAACGGTCTTATATTAGGTAGAACTCTTGAATACGAAGACGAAGAAGAACCTGAGGACACCAATTCGGAAGAGGCCTTGGAATTAGAGGACCAAATTATTTTTGTGGACTTCGATCCCCTTTGTTTGGAATATATCTTAAATTTTTATAAGACCGCTCAAGATGCTTTTTACTCCAACCAAGAAAGTTCTTCTTCTGCTTTTCCTCATATTCCGACTCCAAATCCTCTTCTAAATAAGCAGGCTATTATTGTTTTGAGGGAAGAGTTGGACTATTTTACTATACCTCCAAAATCTAAAAAAAAGGCACCGTCTTCTTCACCCGTAGAAATTGACAAGGATGCTGTCGAAATGGATACAGTTGAACCTGCGATTAACATTTATGAATTGAAAACTGAATGTGGCACTTATCTTCTTCATCAGAGGAAGATATTTACCGCTTTACAACGTAATGTTAATAAGGAAAATAACGTAGCTGAACAGCATTTGATAGATATGTTATGTGTTTCCGGTTTTTCAAGGGATGATGAGTGGGGTTATCGTAATATTGAACCTCATAAGACAAGTATTGTAAGCATTGCTCTTGTAATATTAAAGACAACGGGTCAGAGTAACCAAATGGCTACTGCTCAAAAATTGTTACTGTTTTGGAGGAAACCGGCGGTATGTATATATATATTTTTTTCTTAGATATTTTGGATTGGGAATTTGGCTAAGACTGTGTTGGAATTTTTTTACTAATCTTTCCATTTGATATAATGCAGAGAAAATGTTGGTGGGATGGCTTGGAAGTTACAGTCGGTGAAGATAAAGCCATACCGGTTCGACTGTGGTGCAGGCGCACATGGACTTTGGAGTTAGCTTTGGTTTAAATATACTTATTCAAAAAAAAAAAATAAGTAAGAATAAATCTACGGTGGGTGATGAGAATATTCAGAATCTTACTTTGCTACATATAAACCTTTTTTTTTATATTATATAAATCGATCTTCACTTATTAAGTAAACTTGTTCTTCCATGTTAATTTTACATATTCTTGATACAATTTGGAAAAAAATTTTATTATTAAGCTTTGTGTTTCAGATATACACGAAAATTTTTTTTAAAAAAATAATAATAATAATAAATGATTCCAAAACTGTAAAGAAATTATTTAAGGTGAGGGGATAAGTTATATACAAAGTGCAGTAGACGGTTAATTAATTGATGGCGAATTTTATCAATTAAATGATTGTATTTTAGTCAATCAATTACTGAATTAAAAAGAATAAAAGTTTTAAATTTTATTTTATATCTTTAAATATCAATAAAAAATATATTATTGTCAAAAAATAAGATTTTATATCGAAAAAAATATTAAAACCTCATGTTAAAAAGCATTAGAACCTTTTATTAAAGCGCACCGGTGGCGCCTATTTACATTATTTCAATTTACACTCAAAAAAAACCAAATACCAACTCTAACGTAAAAAATTTTGAATGAAAACATATTAAATAACTGTAAAACTACTATGGTTGTGTTTTATTAATATAATTTTTTTAAACTTTTATTTGTGATTTTTTAATAATTTTATAATATATTTTTTATAATATATAATTTGATTTAAGTGTAAAAACTTAGTGAAGTGGTTAAGTTGTTACTCTAGTGTTGTTTTTGAAAAAACTATTTGTATTATAGTTTATTGTTTTTTGTTAGTTAAAATAAAATATTTGTAATTTTTTTATACAGTATTAACAAAACTAGTAGTTTAAAGTATACTTGTTAGCAAAATTTAAAATTTTATTTAAATTCAAATTTTAAATTTTAAATACTATAAATAAAATAGTTATACATTATAGTTGAACTAAAAACAAAATTAAAAAAAGGATTAAAATAAAATACTGTATAAAAGAATAAAGAGAAATAAAAAATAAAATAAAAAATATACAATATACAGTGCATGACACTTAAAGACTATACAAACTTTAAAAGCTAATAACTTTTGATCTAAAAAGATATTTAAAAAAGAAAGCTACTATTTTGTAGCTTAATTGATTTGCTACAACTTAGTGGCTTTATTTTAAAAAATTATAATAATTTTTTAAAATATATAGCTTTAAAAATATAATATTTTTATATAATCATATATAAAAAAAAGTTAAAAATCTGGATTCCATACTGTATCAACTTTTCTAACTTGAAAAAATCTCACCAAATTCCTTCTTACTCCAACTATAATACTTTACCACATTCTTCTCTACACTTAATTAATAGAAAAAACAAAACTAATTATACTTACAGTTGTCCTTGTGGCTCCGCTAACCAACTACATTCCGAAATCAATACTTGTCCTCCTCTAGGACAAGCTACCCTTAAAATCAATATATGGTCCACTATGTAAATCAAATTTAATACATCTATTAATCAAATCCTAACAATTCAAACCTAAGTGAGTCTTGACCACTCTAGTAGGTTTAGGTCGCAAATAATTAGTTTAGCTTTTAGATTAAGCTTTTAGTCTAAGCTTTTATTCTTGCATATAATTTATATTTATTTGTTATTATACAAATTAAGTCTTTATAT